ACAGGAGAGGTCTCTGCGCCATGTGGGTCAGCTCCCTGGCGGGGGATCCAACGTCCTAATGCAGTGGCTGGTGATAGCTTGATAGTGCCGAGAGTGACCTCTGTGCCATCAGGGAGGCCTTGTACCGTGTTCTTAGTTTTAGTTTCCACATGTTCATTATCAGTATACAAGAATAAAACTGATTATTATGTATTGATCTCATATCATGCAAGCTTGTTGAACTCATCTTTCTGTTTTAGCACTTCCTACCTATGCTTTAGATTTACAGTTCATCGCATTTGGTTCTCATACTTTCAGTCAGGTTAATTTAATGTTGCATCTATCCTAAAAGCCAACCCCCTTTTTGTCACTTGTACTGTTTGGTTAATGGCTTTAAAAAGAAACTGCAAATCAACTTGGAAAAGCTCCCTTTCTCTCTCTTCATGTGAATATGACTCATCCTTTTTCATCTCCCTTAGGAACCACACGCAAATTTCTTAGTACCTCTTTATTTCCACCTGCTAAGTCTTCAATACAGACCTTAGTCTCTCTTTTGCCAGAGCACCTTGCATACCCCTTTGAAAACAATCACCTTAAAACACCATTCTCCTGCTAATACTCCAAAACTATTTCTATCACTATTGATGCCTTGTTCTCCAAAATCTAGCCACATCCCCTCTCACCTAACCTTACCCTACTTGTTATTTCTTTATTAATAACTTCTTACTCAAAGTTAATCTACCTAATGCTGGTAGGTGGGGAAAATCTGTGTGGAGATACTTTTTATAAACTTCAACAGATTATTATTCAGAAAACACAGCGTTAATGGGAAATGGAAAAGTAACCCACAGTCTGATTTCCTAGTATATATTTTTCCCTCCACATTACCTTTCTTTACATAGGAGTTCACGGTGAACTCTCTTCTTTTTCCTTTTTCACTATACGCTGCCAATATTTCCAATATTTCTACATTAGCTTCACAATTATGTCAGTGGCTGAAAAAAAGTACACACTTGTGGATGTAAAATAATTATATATTTGTTCACTGATTGCTGGACAATGCAACTGTTTCTAAATAATATTTTGTTATGACAGGTAACACAGTAGTGTCTTTGCAGAATATCACCCTAATTTCTTTTGAAATGCTTCCCTGGACTAAGTTTTCAGGAATGAGGTTAGTGAGCTAAAGAACGTGAACACATTATGGCACTTGCACTATTATTTTGTCACTTATTACCTTTTGCTATTTTAAAAAATAATATAATAGTTTATTTTTACATCATTTTGTGCTTTTTTCCATCTCAGTTATAGTCCCCATGGATTTCTATCACCAAATCACCTGTGTGCCATCACCATAGTCTAGTGCACTTCCCCCCCACCCCCAGTCCTTTATACTCCTGTTATGAGTGAAACCATCCAGTTTTTTTTTCTTTTTCTTTCTGGCTTATTTCATTAAGCATGATCCCTTCCAGCTCTATACATGTTGCTGCAAAAGGCATGAGTTTATCCTTTTTGACTGCCGAGTAATATTCCATTGTGTATATGTACCACATCATCTTAATCCAGTTATCTACTTTGGGTTGATTCCATGTCTTTCCTATTATAAATAAAGCAGCAATAAAATGGGGGTGCAGGTATCTTTTTGAGTCAGTGTTTTTGTGTCTTTTGGGTAGATACCTAGGAGTGGGATTGCTGATTCATATGGAAGCTCCATTTTTAGCAGTTTCAGAAACCTCCAAATAGTTTTTCATAGTGGTTGTACTAGTTTGCATTACCACCAGCAGTGCAGGAGAGTTCCTATTATCTACATCCACAACATTTGCTAGTTGTTTTAAGGTGTGCCGTTCTCACTGTCACTTTTTCAAAGGCTCTGTATCACCAATAAGAGGCAGAGCTCACAGCAAACTTTGGCAACAGTATCACTAGGGGTAACTTTCTTATTTTGTAGATATAAAATGATATGTAAATTTTACACTGACTTTATAACTTTGGATACCAGAAAGTTTTTATGGATTGTTATTTTATCCCTTTATCTTCTTATTAACTAAAAGGAAGATATGATGAAGGGACTTTGGACTCATCAAGGAGCTTCAAGATCACAGTCTTTTTTGTTCTCTGATCCCATCTCAACTTTTAGCTTATCTGGAAACAGATGCTTCATTAATTTTTTGACTAGATTGTCAGTTCATGAGAGCAAGAGATACTGTCTGTCTTACGTAACTCACTTTATCCAAACATTCATTACTCCTTCTAATTATCCATTCATTTATTCAGTATACAGACTGAACTTTGTTGGGGTGCAGGGTGCTACCATGTCCCCAGGAGACAGGTCTGAGCACAGCAGTAACAAGGTCTAGCTGCGCTTTACTAGGATCTCTGTCTACCAATTTGTGTGTAGAGTCTGGACAATGGTCAAGAATAGGACAGAAAGCAATGCTCCAGGTGAGGGTAAAGTAGACGCACATCCAATATGAGTGATGGAGGTAAACAGGGGCTTCACACTAGGTATACTGAGTACCCAGCATGTACTAAAAATCAAAAAACAAAAAAAAAAACCAATTAATCAACCCAAAAGGTTTTTTCTTTCAGTCCTTAAACAAACCAAAAACACACATACACTTTCTCCTCAACTCCCAAAACAAAATTTCCTCTTCATTTAGCATTGTATTCTCTCTCTCCCTCTCCCTCTGCTGAGCATCTAGCTATGTCTTGTTTTGGTGAGGGTCCAAGGACCACCCAGGTGGGATCAAGACCATGACTTGGCAGATCCTTCCACCAATGTCCTGTCCCACACCTGTCCTCACTCTAGTCAAAGCTCCTTATCAGCTGTCCTTGCAGTGGCCATTCTGAGTCTAGCCCAAATCTAGGGGGGAGACTAGAATACTGGGAACTCCTATTCTTTCTTCCAGTTTGCTCACGTACTATTAGAACTAGCCTAGGGGACAATCCTTGACGTGCAGTTATAGGGGAAAGTAGTAGTGCCTGGCTCATGGCAAGAGTCCAATACCCCTTTCAGGAGATTCCAGGTGATGCCCACCTGCCTCATGGTTGGTAGAAAAGAAGGTGAGGTCTACTGAACCAGGAATAGAAATGAATACCAATGGCCAGATGGCCTTCCAAGGCAATAAAAGAAGTTCCAAACTGAAAGGTTTTTGAAAGAGCATAATATGATGGTAGTTATAGAGAGAGATTGTGTTTATATGTTCATACATTGAGAGCTACCTACATTTTAAACCTGAGCTATTATAAATCTTATCCCTTCTATGCATTCCTTCAACATACAATGATCAAGCACCTATAGGGAAACAGAAATGAACAAGACAGAAAGTGTGTTTAGGTGGAGCTTACAGTGTGAAGGGGAAATAAACAGATAATAAACTTACAATATGGTGCTAGAAAGAAATTAGTGCAATAGAGGTAAATAAAGCAGAGTAAAGGATAAAAAGAAGTGGGCATAGAAATTTGTTTAAATTTAAAAAGTCACCTCTGATAAGCAGACATCTGAGTTGAGAGAAACAGAAAATAATCCACACAAACATACTACAGGTACAGAGAGACTTAAGAGTATTTGTGAGTCACGAGGCAGGTGAAGCTCCAGCTCAGTGAGCAAGGTTAAGAATAGGAGATGAGATCACAGCTATGGGAAATGTCAAATGGTGCAGGCTACCATTAGGAATCTGGAATATATTCTAATTGCATTAGGAGGCCAGCTGGAACCCAGCCTTGAGCAGGGAATAACATGATCAAATTTATGCTTTTAAAACATTACTGACTAAGAGCAGGAGCTATAGCTATGAGCATGTACTGCAATTACTCAGACTAGAGGAAATAGAACTTTGATTTCAAGAGAAAGAGTGGAAATGGCAAGAAAAAGTCTGCCTTAGAATATATTCTACAGGTAGAGCTAGCAAGACTTATTGCTATACTAAGAGTAGATTTTAAAGAACTGAGCCGTCAAGGATAAGTCCCAGGTCTGAGGCTACAGAGACTGGGGAGAGAGTGGAATCATGTACTAAATGGGGAGACTGAAAGAGAAGCAGGATAGGGTGGGGGTAGTTTGGAAGGAAATGAGGAGTTCCAGATCAGACATATTAAATTAGAAATGCCTGTTGTTCTATCTGGATAAAGGGAAAGATCTCAGCTCACAAACAGATATTTAAATTGTGTAACCAGACGTGGTCTCTACCTTTGAGGGTTCAGATTAAAAGAGTCACTCATCTAAAGACATCACTATAATCTACCTACAGGGACTTACAGGGGAGGGAGAAGGAAAAGCAGAGCTCCCTCACCTTTGGCACCAGCTGATGACTTTGCAATCCAAACATTGCCTTCTCCATCTTCTTTCTTTCTGTTATAAGAAGCCAGGAAGAATTCCCTTTCATCTGTTCTTGAGTTACTGATAGGCGGGAGGATTCCATTCTGAGCTGGAGCAACTGGGGTCCTGAGATTAGTTGGGTAAATCACGTAGGACTCAGGGAACCATGTGCAGGACTCAGCCAGTTCTGGACTTGTCTTGATCAGCCTGGCAGAAGACAAAGGGTCAGTCAGCCTCCCTTCTTAGAGACTCCGTCATTCTCTTCAGAAATGTCAGCTCAGTGACCCACTGAGCTCTTCTAGGAGGCGGGGCATGGCCTGGACCAGGAGTTAACCCTCTTGCCCCATCATAAGTGCTTGATCTAGGCCAACTTATAATATGCCCTTGGGCAGCACATGGCTCACCTTACAGGCATACTCCAGGTCATTCAAAGGGGCAAAAAGTCCAAACTTTAGCTCCTTTTTAAAGGCATCGCTAAGGAAATAAGTTGTTCCTCCTGAGCCAATACCTTTCCAACAAAGATGTTGTACCTTTGCTATACCCTTATTTAAAAACCAAAGTGAGGAGTTGAAGAAATGATTTGGAATACCAGTAAAAAGTATTTTTGGGGGGCCCTCCCCAGTGGCACAGTGGGTTAGGACGCAGCACTGCAAGCTAGACACAGCTGCTTCAGTGAAAATTCAATCCCCTGCCTTGGAGGAGATCCACATGGCGCGGCAGACCTCTCCTGACCCACCCGCTGCTCCCCTCAGCAGTGTACTTCATTGATCTGCCTGTTCTGCTCCCCACCCTGTCTCTGGAGAATCCTCTCACCGCCCCTGCACCTCTGGCTTGTGCCTCAGTTCTGTATGCATAAATAAATAAAAAATCTTAAAAATAAAAAACTTATTAAAAAAAAGTATTATTTTGGCCCACCTCTCTGGTGAGAAAAGGCTACTATCTGGGGGTCTTATTATTTCAACTTTTATTTCAGTTCTTCATTTCTCACTTTTAGCTTAGTCTGGCTTCAGTAACAGAGTAAATGTGATAAAAATGACATTAACTCGATGGTTTCTCTCATATCTGGAATATAACGGAATAGGCGAGAAGATAATGATAATGATAAACAGCTATATACCAGAGACATTTTGTGGGGGTGGAGTGGGAAATGGGATCAAAAACAGTGGGGGAAGGGAAATGCACTGGACTATGGTGATGGCACATGGGTGATTTGGTGATGGAAAGCCCAAAGGGATTGCAAATGAGATAGAAAAATGCACAAAATGATGTAAAAATAAACTATTATATATAAAAAATAATTTAAAAAATGGTATTAACTCCAGAAGTCCTAACTATATATACATTTTGCCTCTCAAAATAATCTAACACAAAGGAAGATCAGGCCAGGTCTTGAACAAGACACCTAGTAAACATCAGGGCTTGTTAAGGGGGTCCAGCCAAACCCTACATGGGGCAACAGTGTCACATTTCACAGAAAAGGGCTGGGTCATGAGAAACAAATTTACCAATATCACAAAGGTAGTAAGAAACTGCCAGAATGTATCCCCTAACTCCCAAGTCCTAACTACACTTACCCTTTATCCTCCCAGAATGAGAGGTAGGGAGGAAACTACCCAAACGCCTTCACAGGCCTTTACTACACTGTTCTCTTCCACACAGCTCTTAAGGCCAAGTCTGCATTAAGATCACCTGCAAACTCGGGTCTATGAGCAAAAAGCAGACGTAATAAAAAGAAATTTTCAATACAGATTTAAATTATTTTGAAGGTAACAGAATTTCAAAATTACTTCAACTCAAAGGAACAAAAGAAATAGAAAATAAATTTCCAAACCACTGACTGTTCAACTGGAACAGCCATGTCCAGTATGGTCATCACTAGCAACACGAGTTTTCTAAACTCTTGAAATATGGCCAGTGAGACTTGGGAACTAAATTTTAAGTTCTAATTAACTTAATTTCAAAATGGAGGCATGGTAAAATATTTCTCATTAAGCACAACTTGGAGGTTTTAGTGAAAGACATTTCACTTCACCAAAGTGAAGTAAGGTATTTTTGCTACAATGCACCCATGTCAGGCGTGTTCGTTGTTCCTAACATTCTACATAAATACAAAAACACATCACTGTTCTACTTGGGGACAATAGATGGATTCAATTCAAGTGGAGTTTCCCCCCATGCACTGATAAATCATTATACTGTGTTTATTATGCAGTGAGCACAAGTTACAATGATAGCTATGTAAATAATAATTGGTAACTAAAGTGAATAATAATTATATTTCTAGTTACAAAGAAATGTTGACAAAATTAAAAATTTAAAACAAAGCATATTGTGAATGTGTAGTTGACTGGGACACAGAAGCTAGAGCTAGAACCAGAACAGTAAGAAAAGCAAGGAGAACTGGAAAAAGGTTTTTAATAAACTTCTTGAATGACAATTGCAGTATGCTGAGGCAGAATTAAAATGAAAGAACTGTGTTTGTAGAAAGGAGACAGTTTCAGCAAATACATAATGAATTATTTCACCAAACTGGAACAACTCTGAGTTAAGTCACAACTCTCTTTATGTTCAAAACCTTCCTAACAATCTCAAAGATTGATTCAAAAAAGTTGAAAAATCTCAAATACTTTTCTTTAGATTTGACTTGCATGACAGAGACATTGCCCAATTATTACTTTGGGTATTTACTCAAAGGATTTCCAAATATGTGAAAAAGTATTGTCAAATGATAGCCTAAAAATATCAATTTCATGTGTAGTTGTTTGTTAATCTTGTACAACAGTCAAGGAAGAATTTGATGTATATGTGAAAATTTAGTTTTTCACAATAGACAGAGTACTTCAGCTAGGTTGTGCTGAATCTGGAGTTTCAACAGTGTAATGTTTCCCTTCATAGCTTTATTTTACTTTATGATACATAACGAAAAAATTGCTTCCTTGTACCACCTGATACATTTGTGCCCAGTTTTCTGGAGCCTACTCTCTGAAAACTGCATGGATACAGTTGTTAAAATAGTTCAGTATATACTTGCAAATGCTACACTGATTTAGTTCATGGAACAGTTGAAAAGAAACAGAAAAAAATGAATTAAATGATACTGTAGTCTTTGCCAATGCTCACTGATTGAGAGATGAAGAGTTTTCTACAAAGATTTATTATACTGCTAGCTTCAATTCAGATCTTTCTTGAAAACAAAGGGTTTTGGGAGCCAAATTATCATTTTCACTCAATAATTCATTACTTCCTTCAATAACCAAAGTTAAAAAATGGCAGTGTGACTTGCATTTTCCCACCTATACCCACAAGTACATAAGCAAGCTAAATTAAAGCTGCAAGGGAAAAGGTGACCTATATACTTATGACCTAGCCAGAAAGGTATGTGAATTTGTGTTCCAACTTCATAATACATGTCAATAATAATGATTTTTACCTATTTTTGTATGATGACTCACTATGCAGAAATTTCTAATTTTAATAGACAGCATTATGCAAATTGGTTGCAAGCACTAAAGGAAAAATAAAAGATTTAGAACACAGTTGATATAATTAAATTTTGCTTCTTTTCAATTAATTCAATACCTCCTTTGAATTTAATATTAATGATACAGATTTGACAGTTTGTGAATTAACATGGATAGTTTTAAAATTGGTATGTTTTTGCTTCAAAGTCAAGTGAATTATTTTTCTAATAAAATGCATCAGTTTGTCGATGTGTTCATGTGACTGTTAAAGGAAAGTGATTTTTTGGTATTCACTCAGCTGCTGAAAAACTTCAAGTATGTGGAAACAGCTTGGGTATATATATTATTTTCCATCCATGCATTTTTATGAAATCTAAATACAGATCAAGGGTTTTCTTTTTTTTTTTTTTTTAAAGATTTATTTTATTTATTCATACATACAGAACTGGGGTACAGGCCAGAGATGCGGAGGGTGAGAGGATTCACCAGAGACAGAACGGGGAGCAGAACAGGCAGATGGACGAAGTACACTGCTGAGGGGAGCAGCGAGCGGGTCAGGAGAGGTCTGCCGTGCCATGTGGTCACCTCCAGGGCAGGCGGGGATCGAACTCATGCAGAAGTGGCTTAAGATTCTTAGTGCAGTGCTTTAACCCACTGTGCCACCAGCGAGGGCCCAGATCAAGGGTTTTCAATGAAAACTTAAGTGTCTGAATTGAGATGTGCTATAGATAAAAAATACACATGAGATTCTTAAGTCTCAAAATGAAAGAATGTATTTAAAGCATCTCATTGTTTTTGATTAATGATATATCAAAATGTCTTAGATTTAGTTGATTAAATAAAATATATCATTAAAATAAACTTCCACCTGTTTCTTTGTACTTATTTTTATGTAGCTACTAGAAAACTTAAAATGAGGCATGTGGTTAACTGCTATTTCTGTTTGACAGTGCTGCTCTGCAGGAAGACCTTCACTTGGAAGTCCTCATTTCCTATACAGAACCAAGACCGAGTTCCACAGGAAGGAAGTTCTTTGCTTTTGTTCTATGTCCTCGTGAGCCCTTTTGCAAAGATAGCGCAAATGGAAGTTTATTCACATCTACAAGGAAGAAATACTCTCAGGAGGAAAAGAAAATCTCCAACCTCAGCCAGAAGAAAAGCTCTGGGAAGGTAGCCTGGGAGCCTTGATGAGTTTCTGGAGCGCCCTGAGAGAAAGGAGGACGGCACCTGCTGTACAGGCTCCAGTGCCGAACCTTATCAAGGCCCTGGAAAACCCTGGGAGAGAACACCTAGGCCCACGGCCAGTGGCTCCTGCTTGTACAGACTAGAACTGCCCTGGCTCAGCACAACTCCATGGCTGTGGGCAACACAGCTGTCTTCTAGGAGCTGCCTTTAAAGTTACGTTTTTAAACTTTGAGTCCTTGCCAGTCATTCAAAATTATGGAAGAGAGAAAAGGACAAAAGCAAACATAACCTGCTGCAATTACTACAGTCCCTTGCAGGGCACCAGAGAGAAGGAAGGAAGCAACTAAGGAGGATGACAATCCACACCCTCCAAACATCCTGTCCTCATTTACAAGGGGCCACAAGAGATCATGTCATATGCCACCAATGGGCAAAGGACAGGTATGATCACCACCATCCCCATTTTACGGAAGGGACACTAGGGGGGTCACAGTGTCTCTGTCCAAGGTCACAAAGATCCAGATACCTACTCAGGCCTCATGACTCCAGCTCTATAGTCAGTTAAACCCATTAGAACTGCTAAATAGGAAAATACATAAGAACATTATTTTTCAAAAGCACCCTTAGTCTCAACTTATAATTTTTTTAAAAGGCAAAATTCTACTTTATCTTTAGAGAGAAAAATCATAGTAAAAGATGGTTGGGTAAACACCACTATATAGAAATTTCTAAATGAAAAACCTTGGTAAACAATCATGTCTGACTCTCCTAGTTCTGCTGAAACAATCATCTGCCTTCTAAACATAAATGTAATAAGGAGACTTCAGAGTCCTTTTCCTTTAGGAGTGCTAGTGAATCATGAAAACCCATCACAGAAGCAAGTGGTAACAGAAGTTACTGGGGCCAGTGATTCTGAACAAAAAGGTGGAAATAATCTTTTGATTACCCAAGCAAGTAGACATCTGGAACCCAGAAAGAAATGTGAGTGAAGGAAAGAGCATCTGAATTAAATCACAACTTTCAGTGTCTTCCTCTCTGGTTTATTTGGCTACACTAGTATGCTCAGTAGCTATCATGGAAAGACTCCTGGAGACCTGGAACAGCCCCTTCCAGGAGGCATATCCAGGGCTTCCCTGCTGAATTGATAGTAATAGTAGTGAAAGCCACAATGATAGTAGTAAGAAGAGCTTTCTCTCATATAGTGTGAGCTCTGAGAGAGATTATTCAAGGCTGGTATATGTGTTAATAACAAACCTGAGGTGGTTACTATTATCTCCATTTTACAGTGAAACTAGGGCACAGAGTCAAATGCTGGAATAGTCACTGTGCTATAGACTCTACACACTCATCTTATTTGACCCTCGCAACCACCTTTTGAAGGGTATATAGAGGTTTAGAAGGATAGGAAAGTTGAAGGCCAAGCTAATATGAGGAAAGTCAGGGATTAAAACCCAAGATGCCAGCCCCGGCTGGAAGTAGTCTGCTACTATTTCCCTCTACCTTATGATACTGTTCCTGAGATACCTGGCCATTAACCCAGGTGCTCAAGGAATGGCAGTGGAGCAAACACCATTGCACCCTGTCCAGACAGTCTTTCTGTGGGGGCTCCTGGCTGCAGTAAAAGTCAAATGGCAAGGGCTGACATGTGCCCCTTCTGCATGGACCCAATCCCTTTCAGACATGCTGCGGAGCTTCTCCCACAGCCATTGTCTGAGTAATACTGGAAAACAAAAGCCTAGTGCACCGGTCTCAAGATGGGTCAACTACAAGCCCCCACACACTCCTGAGCCCTATGGAACCAAACTGAGCTAAAACTTCAGCTGAAACCACCTCTTGACTTCTTCCTCTGCTATCCTGCTCTCCTTGCATGGAGACGGGGTTCTGAGCACCCCTCCCTCAATATCACTTATACAAAGAATCTATCTCCACTGGTTCTCAGGAAACTTACTTAAGAGACGGCCCAACTTTATCATGCACTAGACAGCAAAACTTTGGACTGCAATCAAAGTGGCTTAGAGGAAGTTCCAAACTAGTATTTTCTGGCTTTTTCAATAAAATTATTTTATGTTTTAAAATCTGAAAATAACCCCACCTTTTGCTTAGGCGCTTTAGGATGAAAGGTAAAAACATTCACATAAAGTTTGAAAACAGGTCTGGAAGAGCACTTACTTCACCAAAGAAGCTTTGCGACACAGCTTGTCAGCCCCTCTGTAGTAATTCACCAACTGCATCAGCCCTGGCTCGTGACCTAGGAAGGGAAGAGGAGGCTCAGAAGGGAAACAAGACAGGTGGGGAAGCTCAAAGTCAGCACCAGCCAGCAGGAGAGAACAGCTGTGCGCAGCCCAGCTTTCCTCTCTCCCTGCCCCTGGCTGCTAGGGAGGAGCACTTACAGTACCCAGCATTTGTTCCCCTCTTCTCGGCACCCCCACCGTCCTCACCCTCCCAGAGTGGATATTCCAGTGTCAACAAAATGGTCTGCAAATATCCCTGCTGCCTTTGTTCTTTCTTCACTCTCCCTGATTCCCACCACACCCCACTTTCTCTCCAGTAACACCCCCTAACCTTGCTCCCTTCTCAAAACCCCCCCACACTGGCTAGTTTCAGTGGCCTATTTTCAGTCTTGGCTCATTCTACCTCTGGCTCTCTGACCACACCTATTTTACAAACTGTCTCCTCTGGTCAAGGTAGAACACTGCTTCCTCTGGGTTACCCTCCGACACAGAAATGACTTTTCCTATTATTAAATCTCCCCTGTCTGTGGCAATACAATCTGGCCCCCACCCCAAAGACATTTTGGCAGGGAACATGTTTTCCAGGAGCGAGGCTGCACTTCCCTAAGACTGTGCCGTGAGGAGAGGCCATGGCTATACTCCGGCCAAGTAGCCAAAGGCCGGCGAGCTGGGGGCTCCCCACAACTTCTGCATTACGTCATCTGAAGAGGCGCCTCCCGCGCTCGGCTTTCCCACGCCCCTGCCTGCGGGCTTGTGAGTGTGAGGCCCGGGTGGTGCCAAGCCTGTCTCAAACATCGGGGCGAGTAGGGCAGGGGCAGAGAATACAGCGTGAATCCAGTGCCAAGTGACATCTGCATTCAAGGCTCAATTGGGAAAGCACGTTCTTTGGTGAAGCTAAGGAAAGGTCTAAAATCAGACCCGCTCCGACCTTTCCTGGGCTCGGCTCACTTCTGAAGCTCCTGCCTCGGGTATCCAGAGTTCTTTTCCAAATTCCCCAACAGCTTCTCTGAGCCGTTGGGTAGCTGAACCCCCCGGCTTTCAACGTGCTTTAAGTCCCTCTCCCGCCCCAAGCCCTGGAAGGGCGGAATCCTCGGTAGCAAATTCGCAGGAAGACTCCAGCCGGATGTCAGCTGCCAGCCCCGCGGACCCCTCCCAGCTCCGCGCAATCCACCGGAACGGTCGGATTTGGGGGCGTGGGATTCCAGGCAAAGGGGGATCGCGCGGCCTCAGGCCAGGCCGACGCCCCACGGGCTGCAGAGACCAGCTATTGTCAAGAGACATCTGCGGGACGACTAGACCGCCCCGCCACTCGGGCCCCGCATCCCATTTTGCAGATGCGGAGACATTTAAAAATGATGGGTTCTGGCCTCAATGGGTCCATTTTTCTATCTGCCCAAGCAACCACGGAGGGGAAAATTTATGACCTTAAAACAAAAGCGCCCGTTCTAACGGGCCGTGGGAGGGATCGGAGGGCGGGAAATGGGGAAGGGCTCACCCAGTCTCCCGAAGGGCAGCCGATTCCTCTCTCCCAACATCAGGTTAAACCGGGGGTTGTCGCGCCTCAGCCTCTTCCAGTGGCCCGTGGCGAGGAGCAGCCGGGAGACCTCGGCGTAGACGCTGCTGTTCTCGTCGCGCACCACGAAGGTGTACATGGCGAAGGGCCGCGCTCCCGGGCCACCCCGGCAGCCGCTCGGGCCCCAGCC